AGTTCCCCCCCCCCCCCCGTGCGAAGCGCGGAAGCTTTTACGTTCATTAAATCATTAGAGAAAGAAGACGATTCGTTGTACCGTTCTCGACTCTTAATCCTTGTCTAAATTCAGTCTCCTCCCCCTCCTCCCGTGCGAAGCGCGGAAGCTTCGACGTTTCATTTAAATTTTAGAGAAAGAAGACGATTCGTTGTACCGCTCTCGAAAATATTCTTCGTCTGAATTCAGTTTCCCCCCTCCCGCGCTCCCTCGCTACGCGTTTTTTGGGGGACCACCCCACCGCCCCCCTGGCTACGCGCCTGCAGTCAGATGAACCTATGTTGATACCTTGTCTGCCCCCGGAAGTTCAGGGGTTTTAGGCATTTAATTACGGTCAGATGAGCATTATTTTGATACCTAATTGTGACATTTGCAGGTCACTAATTGGCGTGGGGTTCAGGGGGCGGAGCCCCCGGAAACTCAAGGGTTTTAGGCACTCAATTACGGTCAGATGAGTATCAAGGGACCCGCCTTGAGGCTTTTCGTTGGGGTCAGGGGGCAGAGCCCCCGGAAGCTCAGGGGTTTTAGGCGTTTAATTACTGTCAGATGAGCATCTAAGGGCCCGCCTTAGGGCCCTAGGTGGAATCCAGGGGGCTGAGCCCTCGTGGTTTTAGGCATTTAATGTAATCATGGTCAGATGAGCATATTTGATACATCATTATAATGTGTCACTGGCAGTTAACTATTTTTTCTTTCTTGCTCTCTTTCTTTCTATTCTCTTTAATATACTCTTTTTTTTTAAAGTGGGGGGGGGGGGGGAGGCTCGAGGATCCCGATCCCCGCCGTTCCGCGGGCCCTGACATGTAGGCATCTCAAGAAGCATTTTCTTGCCTGGCTGTAAATTTAGGAATTTGTCATTTTCCAACAAACGCATACAAAAGTACAATTTACTTAAAAGTGATGAAAAATCTCGGAAAATTATGTCATTTCAGCATTATTTGTAAACCACCGTTATGGAATTAGAAAAAACCACGTTTGAATTTTATTTCCCCAAAGCCCCCCCCCCCCTCCTTTATCAGTACGCCAGTGCCCCCCCCCCCCGATTTACACCTTGTTGACGAGAAAATTACAACTGATATCCCTTACCTTTCTTCATTCTCTTTTTGCTCTTTCCCTTTCTCTCCTCTTTCCCTTTCCCTTCCCTTCTCTCTCTTTTAAGGTTGCCTGGGGGGGGGGGGGGGAGCGTCATTTTGGCCCCACTCCGCTCCACACATTGTTGACTGATCTCCCCTTCTTTTCTCCCTTTCTTTTCTTCTTCCTCTTTTTTGTTCCCTTTTAGCTCTCCTCTTTTCCTTTTCCTTCCTTCTCTTTTTTTTAACGCGGGGACGGGGGGGGGGGGGAGAGGCAAGGGCCTTTTGCCTCCACCCCCCCCCCCGATCGGGAAAATTGCAACTGATATCCCCCTTCTTTTCTTTTCTTCTTCCTCTTTTTTCTTTCCTTTATCGCATTTTTTCCTTTTTTTCTTTCCCTTTCCTTCCTTCTCTTTTATTTTTTGATTGGGGGAGGGGCAGCAGCCTGGGAGGCAATTCCTTTTGCCCCCCCCCCCCCGATCTCCTTTTCCTCTTTTCTTTTTTCTTCCTCTTTTTTCCCCTTTTCCCTCTTTCCCTTTCCCTTCTTTTCCTTTTCTTTCTCTCCTTTTTTTTCGGGGGGGGGGGGGCAAGGCCCGCTCGCCCCCCTGGATCCGCGCCTCTCTACATGTACTAAATGTACATTTGTCTATTATGTAAAAATCAGACTAATTAAACGAGCGTGCTCGCTAAATTCAATTCGACAACTAATGATCATTATTTTCTCACAAAAAGACATTTTCAAACCTTTTGGTTTTGAGGGAAGTTCTAAATTATTATTATCATTCAAATTACGTTGGAATTTAACCTCGTCATTATTTTTGGCCTGCACATAGGACATAATACCGTTTTAACTTCAATAAACTGTATTGTAATTGGATGGTGAAAAATTAATATTCCAGTTTATCCATAGTCAATGTACATGGCGCTATAGGGTGGTGAAAGTTAGCGTAGGGTGGTGAAGAGTTAATATTCCAGCTTATCCATAGACAATGTACATGACCGTAGGGTGGTGAAAAGTTAGCGTAGGGTGGTGAAAAATTAAATATTCCAGTTTATCCATAGACAATGTACATGGCGCTAGGGTGGTGAAAAGTTAGCGTAGGGTGGTGAAGAGTTAATATTCCACTTTATCCATAGACAATGTACATGACGCTAGGGTGGTGAAAAGTTAGCGTAGGGTGGTGAAGAGTTAATATTCCACTTTATCCATAGACAATGTACATGACGCTAGGGTGGTGAAAAGTTAGCGTAGGGTGGTGAAAAATTAATATTCCGGTTTATCCATAGACAATGTACATGACGCTAGGGTGGTGAAAAGATAGCGTAGGGTGGTGAAGAGTTAATATTCCACTTTATCCATAGACAATGTACATGACGCTAGGGTGGTGAAAAGTTAGCGTAGGGTGGTGAAGAGTTAATAATCCATAGACAATGTACATGACGCTAGGGTGGTGAAAAGTTAGCGTAGGGTGGTGAAGAGTTAATGTTCCAGCTTATCCATAGACAATGTACATAACGGAAGGGTGGTGAAAAGTTAGCGTAGGGTGGTGAAGAGTTATAATATTCCAGCTTATCCATAGACAATGTACATGGCGCTAGGGTGGTGAAAAGTTAGCGTAGGGTGGTGAAGAGTTAATATTCCAGCTTATCCATAGACAATGCACATGACGGAAGGGTGGTGAAAAGTTAGCGTAGGGTGGTGAAGAGTTATATTCCAGCTTATCCATAGATAATGTACATGACGCTATAGGGTGGTGAAAAGTTAGCGTAGGGTGGTGAAGAGTTAATATTCCAGCTTATCCATAGACAATGCACATGACGGTAGGGTGGTGAAAAGTTAGCGTAGGGTGGTGAAGAGTTAATATTCCACTTTATCCATAGACAATGTACATGACGGTAGGGTGGTGAAAAGTTAGCGTAGGGTGGTGAAGAGTTAATATTCCAGCTTATCCATAGACAATGTACATGACGGAAGGGTGGTGAAAAGTTAGCGTAGGGTGGTGAAGAGTTAATATTACCATTTATCCATAGACAATGTACATGACGGTAGGGTGGTGAAAAGTTAGCGTAGGGTGGTGAAGAGTTAATGTTCCAGCTTATCCATAGACAATGTACATAACGCTAGGGTGGTGAAAAGTTAGCGTAGGGTGGTGAAGAGTTAATATTCCAGCTTATCCATAGACAATGCACATGACGGTAGGGTGGTGAAAAGTTAGCGTAGGGTGGTGAAGAGTTAATATTACCATTTATCCATAGACAATGTACATGACGGTAGGGTGGTGAAAAGTTAGCGTAGGGTGGTGAAGAGTTAATATTCCAGCTTATCCATAGACAATGTACATGACGGAAGGGTGGTGAAAAGTTAGCGTAGGGTGGTGAAGAGTTAATATTACCATTTATCCATAGACAATGTACATGACGGTAGGGTGGTGAAAAGTTAGCGTAGGGTGGTGAAGAGTTAATATTCCAGCTTATCCATAGACAATGTACATGACGGAAGGGTGGTGAAAAGTTAGCGTAGGGTGGTGAAGAGTTAATATTCCAGCTTATCCATAGACAATGTACATGACGGAAGGGTGGTGAAAAGTTAGCGTAGGGTGGTGAAGAGTTAATATTCCAGCTTATCCATAGACAATGTACATGACGGAAGGGTGGTGAAAAGTTAGCGTAGGGTGGTGAAGAGTTAATATTCCAGCTTATCCATAGACAATGTACATGACGGAAGGGTGGTGAAAAGTTAGCGTAGGGTGGTGAAGAGTTAATATTCCACTTCATCCATAATTGACAATGTACATGACGCTAGGGTGGTGAAAAGTTAGCGTAGGGTGGTGAAGAGTTAATGTTCCAGCTTATCCATAGACAATGTACATAACGCTAGGGTGGTGAAAAGTTAGCGTAGGGTGGTGAAGAGTTAATATTCCAGCTTATCCATAGACAATGCACATGACGGTAGGGTGGTGAAAAGTTAGCGTAGGGTGGTGAAGAGTTAATATTACCATTTATCCATAGACAATGTACATGACGGTAGGGTGGTGAAAAGTTAGCGTAGGGTGGTGAAGAGTTAATATTCCAGCTTATCCATAGACAATGTACATGACGGAAGAGTGGTGAAAAGTTAGCGTAGGGTGGTGAAGAGTTAATATTACCATTTATCCATAGACAATGTACATGACGGTAGGGTGGTGAAAAGTTAGCGTAGGGTGGTGAAGAGTTAATATTCCAGCTTATCCATAGACAATGTACATGACGGAAGGGTGGTGAAAAGTTAGCGTAGGGTGGTGAAGAGTTAATATTCCACTTCATCCATAATTGACAATGTACATGACGCTAGGGTGGTGAAAAGTTGAGATCGTGAAAAATTATATCCATAGAAAATATGTACATGAGGGTGACATAATGGTGAATAGTTTATGTGATTTGGTATTTAAAGAGTCAATGCCCCCTTTCGCAGAGAAAGGCATATATAATTATGGTGCGGGATATATTGCAATTCGAAAGAAGATAATAACGTTTTAATTTCTAACATAAATGAGGTGAGGTCGTATTATTCTTTGATTTGCCCTTAAGTTCTGCGCTTTACCCCCCCCCCCCCTCCATCATCTACTCTCATTTTATCCGACCACCATGCCTATTTTAATTGGTAGCCAGCCATCGTTGCACTGATCATGCCTGATGGATACAATACACAAAGAATATATTGCGTGTGTGTAGTATAGCGGTTGTACGTGTACAATGCGATCCTTACACTTATCAAATTGGCAATTTTTACACATTAAATGGGCTACCTTCATCTCCGATTAGGTGTGTGAAGAAAAGCTTCACCCCTTAGCGTCACGTAGCTGCGCAACCATTGTCATACTGCCTAAGTTTTCGGAAGTAGATCTTAATCGTGGTCCAATTCATCAGCCGTCTGTATTCACTACACGTGCAAATGCGTGGTTGCAAACTCGCTTTTGGGAATCAATTATTTACTCAGCTACGTAAGCTATTTCAATATACGTCGGTGTATAGTGCGTGTATGTAATGCAGAGGATTTCGAAAAGTTGTTGACAAAAAGGAACACAAATTATTATCTGCTTCACCTTTTGACAGCTGATGATGTCACACAATGGAGGAGAAATTTTCAAAGTTTGGAGGAGAAATGAAGAAGCAGGTCAGGTTTGATTTTAATACATGATAAATGATAGGATTCTTAACCGTGCTTTATTTCCATCGAATCGCATTGTGACATGGATCGACACTTGCACTGCACTGCCAACTAGGGCTGGGCTAGGCGTTGGCTGCCGTTACCTCCCCTGGCCGTGGCCTTGATTTTCTCCGGCTCGGGAATGGAGTAGTTAAGCCATTAAATTTAACAATAATAACAAGTGTAACTGTAGCTGTAGTACGCCATAGCTCCAGTAGCATAAACAGAAATACCTGTACGTTGTGCATTGATTGATTGTGGTTGTTTAACAATTTTACTTTTTTAGTCTTTTAGAGCAGAAACTGAGAAAGTGAGATTGAGTGAGAAAACCAGAGGCAGAACTTCAGTTCAGAACAGAAGATTGGAAAAATGTTGAATAAAATTGGACAAACAATAATGAGAAAGTTATGATTTTTGTAAATTTGTAGTATCATGTTAGCATGCATGCATGTTTAGGGAATTTTAAATTGGCTGAATCGGTAAACTAATCTAGACTCTAAATGTATAACTTTCCGCATCGAGCGCTGTGAGTTGCACTCTCCCATTCATCATCATCATCATCATCATCATGATACGAGGAGAGGTAGATCCTGTAATCCTCGGTCACTTCTTCAGGGTTGGTTATGTTCTAGAGGTTAACTCATTGCACATGCGCAGGTTTAGGACAGTTTTGATCATATCAATTTATTTGAATCGCTCAGACCACCAGTGCTTATCCAGTCTCATCTTGAAGATATCGATGGAGTTTGAGTCAATTATTTCTTGAGGGAGACTATTCCAGTCGGACACCACTCTGTTGCTGAAAAAGCATTTCCTTATGTTTAGACGAGACCTTTCGTTGAAAATCTTTAGAGAGTGTCCTCGGGTTCGAGTATTCAGTGATAAGGTGAAGACGTGACTTGGGTCCAGCTTTACCAAGCCCTTTAGTATTTTGAAGACTGTAATGGCATCGCCTCTCTGTCTCTCATTGAGCAGCTTTGAAATTAAAGTTGCTCAAGCTTGGGTTAATAGAGGGCAGCACACTGAGCCAATGGGTATTACGCTCCTGCGCATACTAGTGTCTCTTTATGCATACGTCAGTACCGGTGCGTAAAACCCGTTGGCTCAATGTTCGCCAAGTTGCCTACTACTTCACGAATGACTATATAACGACGCATGAACATCTTTAAGTGAGAGAGAGCTCACTTAACAAAGAGCGCAATGACAATGCCAGTAGTCAATATGTAATATTGCATAACACACTGACATATCATGCTTTAAACAGGTGATGCACTTCACTCATAATAAGCTGACACACACTTCAGTACAACTTTCCAGTTTGTAGAACCTTAAATATGAGAATTTTTCAAACTTAAGTAAGATGCTGAAAAAATTGTAACAAGAAGAAGGTTTGACTGAAATATCATGATTTTGGTATCAGCAGGGCGTACCAGATCAAATGGAAAATCACAAGCTTTTTCCTCACACCAATATCTTACTTCTTATCAAATTCATGACCGACAAATGGAAGATTTGGCTATGACTACGTCACAATCAACTGATTAATTTTAGATCTGCACAAGAGTAACAATTTAACAATTCAAATGTTCATAACTCCCAAATATTGGTCCAATTTATTTCAAAATTTTGCTGTTCTGCTTCTCATATTTTCCAGCTTACATGAAAAGTCAGACTCCCCTTTTTTATGCTGTATTCTTTTTTCTTTTTGAATTTCTGGTTTCAGTATTGGTTGGAGCCCACTGCTGCTGCCATGGCCAAACTAGATGAAATCCAGTTTTCGGTTGAAAGTATGAAGCCAGCCAGTGCCTTCAACGTGCAGTCAGTATGGAGTCCCGCAAGCTCTACACCCCCTCCGAGTTCTCCAATCGGGAGGAGTCCCTCCAGCTCCAAAGCATCACCGTACACGGAGCTTGAGACGGAGCCACCGCTGTCTACAGTCAGCATCCAGAAAACGTCTGCTTGGTGAGTGATTGTACGATGATAGACCGAATTAATCGTCTAGTATGGGACATTTGTCAACATTCCCCATAGAGGCGGTCAGAGGAGCCAGATGGAATCTTATCTCAGCGGAACAACCATCGATATCAGAGACTGAAGCTTTAGGTCTAGTACGTGCATGCTCTACATGTAGCTACCATCGCTCTACAAATTCCTATACTATTTGACTTCCTAATTTCACAAAGTGTAAAAATACTTTTCTCTTTGCTGGAGCCCTTTTAGGTTTTGATGTCACATAAGTGTGATTTACTCACATTGATATTTCAGTATTTAATTGTTTGGGGGATTTCAGCTAGTCCTTAGATCCTTTTGATTTTTATTGATTTATGTATTAATTGTTGTGATTCAACTTCATTTTGTCCAAGATACAAGGATGTACCAATAACCTAAAAAGATAATCTGTGTACAGCAAGAATGTTTTAAATCAACCTAATTGTTCACCATGTTTTTTTTCTATTGGTCAATGGGGACATATTTATGCGAGAGTGTTGAGTAGTCTATTCACAAACTGCTTTTTTTGTTAATTGAGAGATTATTTAAACTTTCAAAACTTCTATTAAAGAAATGAAGTACAACATGGAACTGGATATTGCAGTTCTGTCCTACACTAGCTGCAATATAATTGCTACAATTTTTTTTTTACATACTTGCAAAATATACCACATGTCTTTGTGGAAGCTAAGAACAAGCCTATATATAAACATAACATGGCACAGCCTTATAAACTTTTTTGGGATAAACCATTTCCTTTTTCTTTTTTTTTAATTTCAGGGGTAGTAATACGTCAATTCCAGATCTTATCAAGGCACAGGGGGAGAGACAGAAGAAGCCGAAAGGTGCCCCCAGGAGGCCCTGGAGCGGGAGGAAAGTGCCCTCGAGCCCCACCCTCCAGAGGAGGGGCAGCCAGACTGGGAGCGGGGATGACGCTAACAAAGATACACCAGGGGCCTTTATTGCAGGTAAGTACTCATCATTCATGTTTCATTTTGTGCAATCCAAGTTATAAGATTAGTCAAATTTGGCTGTCGATTAAAAAAATATGGTAGTAGAATTAATTGAGTTGTCAAGATTCATTTTTTTCAGGAGAGCCTGTTGCATTGAGGCTGGAAAGCTAGCACATCAAAGAGACTTATTAACAAAGTCTGTAATACATGGTGCAAAGTCGTCAATGCATTCTTTTAGAAGGGCAGTAGGAATTGGATCTAGCTCACATGATGATGTTGGAGAACTCATGATATAATTTATTCGCTATTTTAGCATAGATCTGTCAGAGGAGTAACACTTCTCTGAAAACTCAAAATCTAAAATATTTAAAATGCGGAAGTTGTGGACCTAAAAACTGGGTATCAACTTGAGGACTTCATCTTGTATGGAGTACACATATTCACGATGACTTTGCATTAATTAAGCACTACTCATCGCCCCAGTTTTAAAGCTTATCTGTACTAGTTCATAGGAGGGATTAGATTACCCTGCAAGGTCACTGGACAGGTGGTTATCTCATCAACTCAGCTCTCAATTAACATAAGAAATAGAGGATCATGGGGGACCAACGGTCACCGAATAGGCATTGTTTTCTATATAGAGGGAGCAAGTAGCTACAAGTAGGACAGTGTGGCTTTAAAGGCGAGGTGATCAGGTCCACATGTTATGTCGTCATTGTTACTGCAGCAAATTTGATCCCTGTTGACCTGTAATTTGGAGGGGTGCAGAAAATAGGTTTTAACTTACTTTTCTGCACTATATACTGAAAGAGAAAATATTTTGTATTTCTGTGTATTTGTATATTCTACATTCATTCAGCTTTCCATTGATAAAAGTATGATTTTTTTCATAGGATAGGGTGTTTTTGCATCATATCAATCCAAATCATCGTTGAATTGATATATGTTATCTATGTCTGTTTGTGATGACAGTGAAAGGAGCAAAATCAGTCATGTATGATGTGGGTTCCCGACCTCCCAGTGGCCGCTCCCACCCATCTTCCTCCTCATCCTCGACTGCAGGCCCACATAATTCATCCCATGATGTGTTTGAGATGATGGAAGCAGCGAACACAGCAAGGCCTACCCATGGGGAGAGTGCCACAGAGGGAGAGGACAATGCGCTGGAGGAATTCTTAAGAAGTCAGCCAAATGGACACAAGCATGAATTATGTAAGTAATATCTATGATGGATGAGTACATCTTTGAATGTGTTAAAGGGAAAGTCCACCCCCAAAATAAGTTTGTTTCGATAGAGGCAGAATAATAAGAAAATCAGGTGAGTGAAAGTTTGAGCAAATTCTGAATGAAAATAAGAAAGTTATGAATTATTGAAGTTGTGATCAATCAAATACAAATTGGCAACTCTGTGACTTATTATACGAGCTCTCCTTCATTTGCTTTGTGCATAATATTCCATAAAATCATGTTTTCTTCGTTATTGATGACGGAATATATATTTGGTCCTTGCAGGGGGAGTATAGAAACATATTTGCAATTATTATATTTAGGGTGCATGTACATGTATGGTTGAAATTTTTCTTGAGGGAAAATGAAAATTTTAGATTTTTTTAGTACTGAGCAAATGGAAGTTGAGCTCGCATGATACGTCATAGAGTTGCCAATTTGTGTTTGATTGATCACAACTTCAAAAATCCTAACTTCCTTATTTTTAATCGGAATTTGCTCAAACTTTCACTGACTTATTTCTCTCATTTTTCTACTCCTATTAAAATTAACTTAATTTCAGGGTGGACTTCCCCTTTAAGATTTTTAAATGGACATATAAACTTGAATTCAGAACCATTTAAACTGCCACAGATGTGCAAGTAGTCTAGTGGATAAGTCATCCGACTGCAGATCACAAGGTACTATGGGGTTCCATCGAGTCCTGCCGCAGCACTAATGTCCTTTCGAAAGACGTTAATCTACTTTTGCCACTCTCCACCCAGGTGTTAAATGGGTACCCGGTAGGATGTGAGAGTTAATGTAGTTGGATAAGCAAGTGTGTGCTTGTAAATGGCGACTGGCCAGAATGTTCCCTAGGGAGTGGAGAATGAGCATACGTACATTGTGTGCGGGTAAGCCTGAATCCGATGACCGTGGTAATAATATATACTGCGCCTAGAAACAAAGTATTAGGCGCGTTATAAATTTGATCTATTATTATTAAAGATTGCTTCATTGTAATTCTTTCATTTAGGAAAATATGAAGATCATTACCAATATGTACTCTTTAATGCATAATCCCCCTCCCCCCCCAAAAAAAAAAAAACAATGATGATAATAGAAAGTGTTCAGGAAAATTGCTTATTTATTTTAATTAACAATGACTGAGAAGTAAAGAAATCTAATTATTTATTTTGAATTAACTTGATATGAAGTGTGTATTTTCACTGAATCTTGTTCTTAAAATCTACAAATGATAACAAAGTAATGAATGATAGTGATTTGACATGTATTGCCTATCTACCGCATGTTCATGATATGAGAAAATGAATTATTTTACTGAAGTGGCTTTAAGAGTGTTCTTTACATTTAAACTGCTGTCTATAGATTACCAAACGTGAACTTTGTAACCAATGCCACGTTGTGTTTTCCTTTGTATTCCTTTGTGTGAGCACCTAATGACTGTTGTTACTCTATCTGCACTTTACAAAAAAACAATCATTACGGCAATTGTTGAACAGGTGTTTTTGGTTTATGTAGCAGATTGCATTTCCCCTTGCCCACTATTAAAATGCCAGGACAGCATTCATTTGAGCATGCATACTGTACAATATGTGTTACAAGTCTTCTAGAAATGTATATGTATGCTTTGTATAGGAACTCTATCTGTTGATGAAGTAGCCAGATTTAATTTTTGAAAATTTTGTTGAAGAATTTTTGTATGAATCAATTTTATAAATTTTTGTTGTCGGGAAGTTGATGGAAAGGTTAATGTTTCCTAGCCGATTTAGTGTTATACCCAAAGTGATGATTTAATGAATTTCAAATTGGAAAAGCTTTTTTTTTTAATGTATCTTTTTTTTCCACATAATTATCATGATATAAGAATTAATCAATTTTTGTATGATTTTAAATATTCAATCATTTCACTATTTTTCACGACCAAGATGAATGATATAAATACACACAATGTAAATAGTGACACTAATTTTCCAGAACTGTATGGAGAATAATCCCTCTCTTTTTAAATTCCAGTGTAAAAATTTATTTTAAATTCTGTAAACAGGAAACAGAAGCATATTTACTTTATATCTTAACAAAGTAAAGCAAAAAATATATTTCTGCACAACGGCCGATTCACAGATACAGTCTTATAATTAATAGAAAATATCTCATGGGGCAATCTAGTTTGTATTTTAACAGGTTTGAAAGAAATCCATAGTTTTTAAAAGCAATGATATAAAAGTACACTTTATCTCTCGGCAGATGGATAAATGATCACATTGAAAACAGTCAGCCAGGGAATGCCCCCGAAATGCTAAAAAGAGCCCCGAAATTCATAAAAGAGCCCCCAAAATGTTTTATATCCTTCTATAACAAGGACACCTGCTCAAGAATTTTCTAAGTTTTAATATGAATTTGGACTAAACTATAATTCCTTTTTATACCTAATACTTCTATGGATGATATCTGGGCCCTACATGTACTGTAGCTGTAACACAATACTTAATAGCAATTGACTTTCTGATTGATTGATCGGTTGACAGCTGCTCAAGAATTTTCTAAGTTTTAATATGAATTTGGACTAAACTATGATTCCTTTTTATACCTAATACTTCTATGGATGATATCTGGGCCCTACATGTACTGTAGCTGTAACACAATACTTAATAGCAATTGACTTTCTGATTGATTGATCGGTTGACAGGTGATTAATTGTACATGTACATCATGGTCAATTGCAAAGCAGCAGTCAATTGCTAACTAAAATCTTTGTGTTACGAGGCCCTGAAGCCAAATTTAAATTAACGTACATGTACGTGTACCTAAGCAATAAAATCTTGATTTTTTAAACTTAATATTTTTAATAATGATGCTTGTCCAGAAATGTGTTGGTATACATGTACATGTAAGAGGGGTTAATGCAATGAATCTTGTGGGCTATGAATGATTGATCAAAGTGAATACCTCCCATAGCTTTCATGTTGAAGGCAATCAGCAGGCATTAAGCCATCTGAATTATTGATCAAGTTCACTGTCAAGGGGAAGTGGATAACACCATGCATTGAATGCACACCACGTGGGGATGGCATCCTGTGTTACCATGGCGATGTGTACGTTGGAGAGAGATGGGGAGTTCAGTGGACAGTTTGAGTAGCTAGTGCTCATTTGGTTTAGGCTCCAGAACTGTGTGGCACATAACTGATTTGAGGGATTTGAGCAATTGTTTGGCAAGCTAGCAAAAGGACCTTTGATTACCAGTGGAAAGTTTGAGAGAACAATATTAATTTACATTTGTAATTTGGGCAATAGAACTGATGGCGGATAACTGATTGAGCAAGCTGTATGCAATTCCTCAGGAAAATTGCATACAAGGTATCTAGAAAAGAACTTTAATATATGTCGCAGTGCTTATTTATGCACTGTGAAAGTTCTCAGTTTAAGTGTAGGTATGTTTTCACTTTCGGTGTGTATTTTTTTGGTGATATTGATAATTTGAGTGTGCCATATTAAAATCATCTATTTTTCATGATTTTTTTGTTTTGGGGCTGTTTTGGTGGTTGTTGCTGCAATATTTGACTGTTTTACAAATCAACCATCTATATAATTGCATCAATGATCTGCAAATCATTATCTTTTAAATTGATATTTGTACATATCAGTCTGAAGTTTCTGCACACATGTATTGATTTCCAATTTTGACTATTAAACTGCCTTTTCAATGAAGATTCACAAATGTCAATGTATTTCCATTCTGTCTCTTCAGCTAAGTTATCAGCAGCCTATGCGGATGAGAGAAACGTCACACCCCCTCCCCCTCCTCCCTGTGCCTCTCCCGATCTTGAGAAGCTTATTAATGGGGGTCTAGATGAGGAGGACTATTACTACGCTGACAGAGATCACCCAGAGGTCGAAGGTCATAAAGAAGAAGACAGAGATAGTGGAGAGTTGTATATACATGTAACACAGGTTTGTTTTCTGTTCAGTCTTATTGGTAGTTTGGTATTTGTAAGTTGCTACAATGCATCATATGTTTTCATCCATCTGTCTCTATGATTATTTTGTTGTGCTTTTCTTTTAATGATCTCTCCTTGTTGCAACATAACTTGATTGGAGACAAAGAGATTCTACGTAATCTTAGTAGAAGGATCTGATGGGAATTTGAGAGAAAATGTTGCTTTATAGTTGATAAGAAACTGAATACATTATATTGGTTGAAATGTATTTTTTTTTTTTTCATTTTTGGTTTGACAAGAAAGTGTGACGTATACTTCTGATTATCTTCCTCTCCATTTTGATTATTCTTTACTTTCTGTTGAAAAAAACAAACAAATTGTTGTTTTGAAATACTGATTAAAGCCATCATAAAGAAACGGATGAGAATTAATGTTTGTGCAAAGAAGAAATTTTACATATATGTTTAAAAGTATCAATAATACATGTAGTTGATGATTTTATAATTTGATATTACATTTATTCTTCTCCATAAAACTAATGAATTTCAACTTTCAAACAAAATATGCTTATGTCAACATTCACTTTTAATTTACAGCCCTCCTATGTCCCTCCTCAGCTGCTACGCAGACCTACCCCTGAGCCATTGAAACTGTCCATGACTATACCTGATGCTGAAGGGGAAGAGGACTATTCCACTGATGAAGATAGGTAGGATTATGTTATGGATAGTATGATGCATATGGTGTCATGAGAATAAGCCAGTTTGTAGATTCAATCTGTGCATGGGCAGATAATGCTTATGTGTACCAGTTCTACAAAAATCGTAAAACCCACCAAGATGAATACTGGGTACCTGCTCATGAAAATTATGTTATCATTATTCCATAATAATAATAATAATAATATTGAGTATTTGTAAATCGCCAAATTTACAAGACTTACGTGCTTGAGGCGCAATGGTGAAGAAAAACTACAAGTACGCGAATACATAAAAAATTAACAACAACGACGGATCGTACAGTCTATGGAACACAGGTGGAAGTATTCTTCTCAAGAGGTCAAACAAAAGGGATTCACAAAGCACCTCCATGTCTTAAGCCAATGATCATTTTAAATTGAACCTAGTGGAACTTCTACAATCATGTAATGTTTAAAAGATCTGTGGATATCATTTGAGCCATGTGCTATAATTAACAACTGGTGTTTTGCTATTGATGGGTTTCTAACATGAAACAAATTGTGAACTTTAACCTGGACCAAATGCTTACCTTAAAACATAAACCTAACCTAAAACCCCATTGCAATCAAGTTTCTGGTTTTGCAATATATGTTTTCGAGGGAATTTAATTTCTTGTTTTTGCTGATTTTGATTTTGTGTTTTTCAATTTGACAGGTCTTCAGGTGCACCATCTCCTCAGCTTTCTCCTGACATTGAGGTTCAGAGTGTAACAAGTGAAGTATCCGCCCAGCTAACAGCTCAATACATCACCTCTCAACGGGATAGTCCATCCCACACCCACCCTTTGACGCCACAGGGAGTGGATTCTACCATTACCCAGGATAGGGTGGACGAATGGGACCATCGCGAGATAGATGCAAGTGCTGGTAAATCTAGAAAAGGGAGACAGTCTGTGAAGTTTGTTGAAGAAAGGAATGTGACTTTTGATATCACACCAAGAGATTGTGCATCCACTCACAAGCCTAGTCCTCCATCTGTTAGTAGGGTTCAGAGACCACGAAGCGCTTTAAAAAGTCCAGGAGTTCGGAAGTCCATTGTGCAGAAGAAGCGACCATCATCCGCAGGTTATAAAGGCAGCAGTCAGCCGTCACAGGGCAACTCATATTCTTCTGGACGCTTGAATCATCGTGATGATGAAGGTGGATCCAATGAAGAAAGCGATGAAGAACAGAATGTTACCAATGATGAACTAATGGACGCAATTAACAACAACGCCATAAGCCAGTTGCTTGATAATTTGACAAAACCAAGGAGTAAAAAGGAGGTAGAAACAATGATGTCACATCTAGCCGTCTCCGAAGCCAACAAGGCGACTACTGACACGACCAAAGCAACGCAAGAAGTGCCGCAGTCTCACATCGTCAGAACTGTCCAGGTATCGTCATCCTCCCCAAAACAGAACTATTACGAGAAGGCGATACTAGCCAAAAAGAAAAGCATGTACCACAGGCAGAACACGCCGACCCGGACGCTGACCACCAAGGTGATTGAGTTTGGTGATGAAGGGCCGTCCATGGAAACCAAGGAGGTGTCGTACTTCCAGGTTGTTACACCGCCCTCGCAGGTCAAGGTCTCCAGGCCTACATCCTCCAGAGGGCCTCGCAGGGGATGGGAAGAACCCGGTGCATCAGAGGGTACCCATGTGAATAGGCCTACCATGGGAAAGAAGTCTGTAAGTATATGAGGACTTTGCTAATTGAATATACCCCGCAAAAAATTGTTGTTTGTCTTTTTAAAAATTATTACTGGTTGCTTGTTTTTGTAGTGATTGTTGTTTCCACCAGATATTGTAATGTTTTCTCCGTCTCACTCGAGCCATTCTCCTGACGACAGACGGAGCACAGTGTCCAAAATGTTGTGACCATCTGTTTCTCTGAAAGATCTAAAAGTTCTTGTGAGAATAATAGTCACAAAAGAATTATACAACAGTTCTTTTAAGAACTAACACATCCCTCCAGAAAGAATACCCAGTCCTTATAAGGACTACTCACGTGGTGTACCCATTTAAGTTTTCCTCTATGCAAACCTATAAAGAACATTTGATTGTTGTTTGTTTCATATCACTAGAGATGAAGAAATACCTAAAGCATTCATTTTACAGAATGTTCAAGTTTGGTTGTACTTTCTTTCAATGTTAAGTGGTTTAAAAAATTGACAAGGATGTCAAAGTCGTTGTTGATTAAGCCTTGGCATTGCCCTAATGTGCATTAATAAGACATCATTTGTGTGCCATATTTGTTTCAGGTATAGTAAATGGCTACCCATCTGTGTAATTTTTGAAATTAAACAAATCAGAAACCTTTTTTTAATACTTTCTGGCTCCTGCGGGAGGGGGGGGGGGGTCAAGGTATATCATCGGGATAATCTTGTTCCTGATGTGTAATTAAACTAGATAACAATGCGAGCAGTCATGTAATTGAAGCCTTTTCATCAAGTCCCGATTACTATATTACTCATGACACATGAGACCCTACGTCCAGCTGTTTCACACCTTCTTGCCTTTGTGCAGGTGGCAATGACGTACATTAGCTTGGGAGGGAATCAGTGATAGTTCCTTTACAATCATGCACATTGCTTCACTCTAAAATAGCACCTGCTGAGAGCCATAAGGGCGTTAACTTTGGATGAAAACAGCTGCTGCTGTACATTGTATATCATTGTGGAATAGAAAAGGTCCCAGTAATGTCATGTATCAAAGCTTTATTCTGTGAAACTTTTATTTATTATATACATTTATTTTTCATTTTTTTGTTGGTTGTCCTTATAAATCAGAAGTTTAATTTCAAGTACAGTCTGTCTTTCGTTAGCAAACACCTGTATAGAAAGAACACCTGCCACAAATACAATTTTTTACTCAATAGAGCTTAGAGATTTTGGTGGTAAGCACTTGATAAGCACCGTTTTTATCATTTATTGTTATTTAAAAGGACCCAATTGGGCTGAAATGTGAGTTGGACTTTATCAGTCAGACATGTATTTTGGAATGAAGTATTCTCTGAAACATGTCTTATAAATAAAATAATTTCATGGAAATGTACTAGATTAGGTTATTATTAAAGAAATAATTTTTAATTGTTCTTTTTTTCTTAAACAGTTTGTTGAGCAGCAAGTTGCCAGGCCTACATCAAGGATAGGATCTTATCAAGATTTTGAGGATTCTGACCCCCTAGAACTGGACAAGAGATCTCCGAGGTCTGCAGCTTCTCAGGTGAGACTGACCCCTTTACCTGGAATTAGTTAAAGAGCAATAAACTTGGGCCCTGCTTGCACAAATATCATGGAAGGGGAATCAAATATAACAATGTATGTTCTGTAAGTCATTTATGGTTATGTGACACAATGTACATGTACAAAGTATAAATGCCACTGTTTATGTAAAATATTTAAGAAATAGTAGTAGTATGTCTGATCAGATGATTTAAATTGTGCTTTCTCCTCTTTCTTTCTCTCCCATTTTTTTCTCCCACTTTGCTCGCTATCTCTCTCTCTCTCTCTCTCTCTCTCTCTCTTACTCTCTCTCTCTCTCTTACTCTCTCTTTCTCTTACACTCTCTCTCTCTTACTCTCTCTTTCTCTCTCTTTCTCTATCTCTTAATGCTATCTATGACTCTTTGTATGCCTCTTTCCCTGTGTCTCCACCTCTGTCTCTACTGCTCCTCCACCCCACCCTCTTTCTTTCTCTCTCTCCCTCCCTCCCTCCCTCCCTCCCTCCCTCCCTCCCTCCCTCTCTCTCTCTCTATATCTCTCCAAACAGAGAGCCCGACCAAGGTCAGCTGTTTTGAAGGCCAAATCACAAGTGAGCCCCCACAGTTGTGCTAGAACGAAGAGCCCGAATAGGACCAAACCTAGGCCTCACTCATCTTTTGTCAACTCAAATCCACCAAAGGTATGTATGATGGCCAAACTCTAAATATTGCATCTGCAGCCAGAAAAGCTCCCCGTCCACAAATAACATTTGAACCATTTTCTTATCTTATATCCCTATGATTTCACATCATGTTGCATTTTTGTCAAGAGACATATGTTTTGGGGTTGTCCATCCGTCCGTCCCAAGAATTCGACCTTCTCTATGTTTTTATCAGAGTAGTAAATCTAAAAGGTATATCATGCTACTAGTTGTTCATTTTACTTGTTGGGATGCAATTCACATTAGTTTGTAAAATTCTTATTAATTGGTATATCCATATTTTCTCTTTGATCTTTTAATGTTGCCTTGGGAAAGTATAATTTCATAATCACAAGTGTTTTAATGAAAATTCATTGCAAGTGTGCACTTTTAAAAATGATGCCTGGCTGGAATGCTCCCCAGGGAGTGGAAAATGTGCATAAATTGTGTGCAGCCTGAATCCGTTGACCTGGGTAATAATATATATCTGTAAAGCGCTTTGAGAGGGCCTGCGGTCCTGAAAAGCACTATATAAGAACAAAATATTATTAATATTATTATAATGATCCTTGAACTAGTTCAACTAAATTAAAGGTAATACAAAGTTTTGGTATGGGGTCATGAATTTGGTTCAAATGAACAAATTGGAAGCGATGCGATCGTACAATATTCAGTGATCGTTATCGCGGTTGAAATTGAGTCTAAAGTTATGAAATTGTGAATAATAATCTCTTTGTGTTGTATAGCTCCCTCTCAAGGTTAAGATATTAATTAAGCTATAAAACAATGTTTATTAACTAAAATCGACCGATTATCTATTCCCGTTTGGAAATTATATATCACAACTACATGTACATATTCTGACATTTTCATGGTCGCAGCTACCATTGTACGGCCGTAGGCGCTGTTTGAAATTTATCCAAATTTACCGGGAGCACCGGTAAATTTTTATATTCAATTTTCCTTGAAAGCAGAAGTGTTGTAGGGGCTTAATTTTCTAGTGCTTATGATCCACAGGGGCATCCAAATATATCAAAGTTGTAAAAATTCTCTATCCCATCAATTTTCAAAATTTCCCAAAACTTTGTATTACCTTTAATCTCATCTCATTATCACCTTGGAACAGAAACCAGTGAGACGAAGCTCCTCTCCGTCCGCACAGAACTATAGCAATTCAAGCAGGGCTCTCGTTCCTGCCGTCAGGAAAAGGTAAAATTTTAATCATGGACCTTTCTTTGCTATTGAATTTTATTAAAGTGTACCATTCACCACAACATATTAATGGTGGCTTCTTATTTAGCGCACATGTCCCTCACATCGTGACGCTCCTGGCGCTGCCCCGATTATTACCCTGGCTTTAGCAAGGCGGCCATTACGGCGCTCTAGCATTCCAAGGAATTAATTCCTGCCAGGTGCCCATTTACATCTCCTGGGTTGAGTGTGGCAAATGTAGATCCATGTCTTGCCAAAGGACATTAGTGCCGTGGCGGGACTCGAACCGCTGATCTTTTGATCGACAGTCCGTTGACATATCCACTCGACCATGGCACCTCTATATTCTGTTCTGTGTGTTAGTATTTCCATATTGTTATACTGTATTAAAAATCTGAGCTTCAAATAACATTCTGTAAAAGGGGATTTGCAAATTTGAATGCAAACTCATTAAACATAAGAGTAGTTAGTAGACTAATCGGCGCACCTGTATGCTTGCCCAATATAGGGCCCACGCAGAACCAAAGTCAGATTTAAGTTATTATTATTATTATTATTATTATTAGGCATTTAGATAATAATACAATAATACAATAATATGCAATATAACAATATAACCACAAGTCTTAACATAACATTGAACAAACAAAATTAATAGCGAATCAAGTAGGAAATGAGTTTCTTAAAGACATCCACTGATGGAGCAGCTTTTATACGGGAGGGAAGTTTATTCCACTCCTTAGCTGCTGCAACAGTGAATGTGCAATCTCCTGCCTTACTACGAGCCACATGAAAAGTCTCCCTTTTATTTGTTATTTGTCAGAAAGCTACCAATAATTGATTATCCATCATGTACATTAAGATCTTATAGATCAGAGCATAAAATTTAATCAAATAGTTTGACCAGTCTGAATTGAATGCTTTTTCGACACAGATTCATAAACCAAGATGATTACTTGTATCAAAGAGAACTGTTGCTGAGCTAGCGCCATGAGCGTCCCTGGACGGTGTGTGCGCTCTATAAGTTTACACTATTATTATTATTATTATTTATTTAGGAATTTAGAAGTCTTTTCATATCATAAATGCAATGTTTATCACAGTATTTGTTTATTTGCTTCTTCAGCAAAGCAGAAGTCCAAAGAAATAGAGAGGCTTTCAGAGCATTAAAAGATGGGTCCTTGAAGAAAACTAAGACATATGGAAAGCAAAGTAAGTACCATATTTCAAATTCAAATGATAAATATCGCACCATTTTCATGAAACCCCTTGTTCTAGCAAGATCTAATAAATCTGTGCATAAAGTGAAGATATTTTGTTAATCCCGTCCAGTTTTTAAACTCTTAATTAATGGCCAGTTGAGTACCAAGTACAGTGTCAACTACTAAGTCTTGCTAGCGCCTGTTTCATCTGTCGTACATGTGAAGCAATAAAAAGAGACAAAAAAAGGAAGACAGCTAAGGTGATTTTGGTATGTAATTAGATGGAAGAATAGCTTGGCAAACACTATCTTGCAAGAAGGAACTGATGGGAGAAGAAAGAGGGGCAGACCAAATAGGAAATGGACTGCTACCATCAAGCAATGAACAGGAATGTAATATGAGTGGCTAACTAGAATAGCTTAAGACAGGAAATTATGGAGGCCAACAGCCACCAGATTATGGGACATAGAAAGATAGATAGATATATAGATATTATAGATAGATATATAGAAAGATACATGTGCAACTACAAGTGTAGAAAGATATTATGTGTGAAATGACATGAAGAATGACATAAATGGCCAAAAAAGATAAAAAGAACAGTATGTAGAAATTCAATTCAAATTCAATTCAATTCAATTCAATTTCGGTTTATTAATATCAACATATACAATGTACAATGCAGTAGTCCAGGAACCAATAATGCAATGTTTACATAAAATGTGCATAAAAACAGGAATGATCATACAAAATAATGTACAATAAAAATGATAAAAGATAAAGTTAACATTATTGTTCATACCTTAAGTTATATACATATATAAATAAATGATAATAGATGGATGAACAACAATATTGAACCAATTATTGCAAGTAAAAATATTCTTTAAATAAACAAATTATTTTAACATAAGAATGAATTATTGTAGTACATCAATATATATACAAAGGAATTCCAAGGTGCAAGCTGATAGCTAGATCATTCACTGTGTATTGAATTAGTAGGTTTCTAGTCTGTTTTGTATAGAGAGTGGAGAGTTAGAGAGTCACCGACAAACTTTTTTCTAAGCGATTAGAGATATAATTAAGAATTACTCAGCTAGAAATTAAAATGTGTTTAACGTATTGGAATACTTTTCAGTTGTTGCGGTAGACGACAGGTCGCCTGTACGCACAGTCTCGACAGGAAAGGAGCAGCAAGACGGCGGCAAGGGATCTGATAGTGACAGTATTGATGAGGTTAGTTGAATTGTTCATTTGAAGACTCTCATTTCAGTCTAGTTCCCCTAGACTGTCACCAATTCTCATTTGATCTCTTCAGAGCCAGGAGGGCGTTAGCTTGGTGTTAAAGGTAATACAGTTTTGGAATTTTTGAAAATTGGATGATGGTGATTCTTTTCAATTTTGATATATTTGGATGTCCCTGTGGATGTAATATAAGCACTAGAAAATTTAGCCCCTAAAACACTTCTGCTTTCGAGAAAAATTGAATATAAAAATTTACTGGTGCTCCCGGTAAATTCTGATCAATTTTAAATAGCTCCGTACGGCCATACAATGGTAGCTGCGCCCATGAAAATTTGTAGATGTGATATATAATTTCCAAACGGGAATAGCTAATCGGTCGTTTTTAGTCAAGAAACATTGTTTTATAGCTTAATTAATATCTTGACCTTGAGAGGGAGCTATACAACATAAAGAGTTTATTATTTATAATTTCATCACTTTAGAATCGATTTCAACCTCGACAACGATCACTGAATATTGTAGGGTCGCATATGCTTCCAATATGTTCATTTAAACCAAATTCATGACCCCATACCAAAACTTTGTATTACCTTTAAAGGATATCACCTACTGCCCTTCTGACTCTAAACAGACAATTATATAGTCATCATCACTACTCTGAAAACACGTCCTCATGTTATATTCTTTTCAGGTATTAGTTTCATAGAGGAACATGCAGGGCTCACTTTGATCGAATTTAGTCACGCAGTCAATGTCTAAAGAATATAATGATGATAATAATAGTAGTAATAATAACAATATGAGATTTGTAAGGCGCGAATTCCACTTAAATCATGATTTTCGAATACTGGAATTGATTTCTTTTTCAATCTTCAATTCAATTCAATTCAAATGATTTCATTTCTCATGCAAAATATAATACAATAAATAAGTATATTACAAAAAATATACAATGAGACAGCAAATATAATAGCAATAGCACTAGAAAAGAGGAGCTAAGTAGGAGCAGATACAGTTCTAACCAAATTTTGTATTAAAAAAAAAAAAATCTTGCACTAGATATGATAAACATGTCATCTTTGTATCTTTGTATTCCTACAGTATCCCAAGAGCATGAGGGAGGAGGAGGTATTTAGTTTACACAGACACCTAACCAAAAGTGGAGTTAAGATCTCTTTTAAAACACTGAAAAGGTAAGTGCTGTGTACCTACTTGTTAATAATTTTCTTTTACTTCCACTGCTACTACTTCTACTTCTATTACTTCCACACTACTACTTCTACTTCTACTACTTCCACTACTACTACTTCTACTTCTACTACTTCCACTACTTCCACTACTACTTCTACTACTTCCACTACTTCCACTACTTCCACTACTACTACTTCTACTTCTACTACTTTCACTGCTACTACTTCTACTTCTACTACTACTACTACTTCTACTACTACTTCTTCGACTTCCACTACTTCGACTGCTACTACTACTACTACTACTACTACTACTTCTACTACTTTCACTGCTACTACTTCTACTTCTACTACTTCTACTACTTCCACTACTTCCACTGCTACTACTTCTACTACTTCCACTGCTACTACTTCTACTTCTACTTCTTCCACTACTACTACTTCTACTACTACTACTACTACTACTACTACTACTACTACTTCCACTGCTTCTACTTCAACATCTACTACTTCCACTGCTACAACTTTTACCTCTACTACTAGGCCTAATCCCTACTGGTCAAACTAGTGCAGATAGGCTTTAAGGACTACCTACATGGTGCTACCTGAACTTCGTTATATTTCATCCTGAAGACGATTTGTACGGCCTATCTTAACTTCGAGAGAGAGCATGAGTGGGCCCTTTTTAGAGCCAACTAACCCTGTTGAAAGAATAGACCAGTTTATGGTTAGCATATGTCCCGAATGACCTCGAATATCTACAGATCTTCAAAACATGAAGAGGTCCCACTTTGTAAATTTTGTATTATAAATCACTCTTAGGGCGATGGAGCTGCTACATAAATAGTCTTTGTTTCCCCTTTTCAAAGAATACTTCCATCTGTGTATCATGGAGTGCACTGCTTGTGCAGAAATGAATAATTATTACATAACTTTCATGAACACGTATCCAGTATTTTGTCTCCATGTATTTCACAATTTGGTCTGCAATGACCTTTACCTGCTCATTCTCAGACTGCAACTACTGTATGAACTGGCTTATTGGCGGGTGTAACCGCAAACCTCGCTCAAATCTATCCTCACCATGGAAGCCTCCAAAGATTACATATATATTTCTTATTTACCTTCTTTTATGTCCTTTAGGGGTCTCGTCGCACCAAATGAGAAGAATGCAAACGATTGTCTGGATCAGTTACCCAGCAATGTATCCCTCAAGTGAGTCAACACCCCATTCTCTCCATAGCTTTCCCTCTCTTTTGTTTTAAAGTATTATTCAACATTTTTTAGGCTATAAAAAGTGATCAATCCAAAATCAAATGTGCTACTTCTCCTGAAAATGAAATTCATAGGTGATATGACTATTTCTGACTGTTTCATTCCAATGTACATTGAATGTAACAAAATAAGTGTAATTTTCACGTTATAACACAAGGTCCTTTGTGTTTGAAGTGTGTATATTTTTTTAAAACACAAATTAATCACTTTTATGTGTTTTTCACCAAAAAAATGCAACATTTTACAAATTTAAAGATTATGTTTTTTTTTTAACCCATAAGAACAGCGGAATTGCATAGAAACATGTACAAGTAAACCCTGCAACCCCAACAAAAACTTTGCTTTAAATTTTCTCATTAAATTTTAATGGAAGAGCAAACATTTTACTTGACTGTACTTACCAGTAAAACATTTTTCTGAAATTTTACTGGCCCGGGGCTAACGGGCCAGTGATTTTTCTCTTCAAAATCTGATTTTTTTTTTTTTTTTTTTTTTTTTTTTTTTTTTTTTTTTTTTTTTTTTTTTTTTTTTTTTTTTTTTTTTTTTTTTTAGGATACTCTGTTTTTTGTGTCAAGAGGTTGGCATCTCTGAACATACACAAAGAAACGGTGCAGCATACACCAAAAATAAAAATGTAAACAAAATTCTGAACTTGTACACCTAACGTGCATAAGGAACCACTTTGTGTACTCAGTGGAATAATCTCTTTATTATTGTTTCTTTTATTTTCATACTAGTTTACTAAGTAAACCGGAAGCCTGGCTGGGTGAAACTTACAGGAATTATCAGATAGCTGAGAATGCATTGAGTAAGTATACTTAAAGACAAGCTTTCTGTGATCTACGCCTTCATTCTGATTGATTTGACAGAAGGAAGCAGTCTTGTCTTATGTCCTCTGAAATCCTTTCCCTCTGAATAAGCAGTTGGATTGTCGAGTGTACAGAACTTGGGATTGTTGATTAATAATCAATTATGTTGAGTTACTGTATGATTTGTTATTACCATGTACATATATATATATTGTTCTGTTTCATAGAATTTGAATCTCAATCCAGCTTTTAACTACAATGAGCTATCATATTGAGTAATCTAATTCTCTTTTACATTGACTAGGTATGTTGTTTATTGTTATAGCTTTACATTCCCCGATTTTAGGATATGCTCAAACAAAATAAATCAATTACTAGTACTATGACTTTTTGATGCATCAGAATTCAAGTACATATCCAGTTCAGAAAAATTAATGCTTTCTGAATCGTTCAACAATGTCACACTCCACACGTTTCATACTCCATCGTTCTTGAATCCTTAAACCAGTATAATTACTCATTCTGGGGAGTGTTTCACAAAGACTAAAATCAAATTTAAGCTGGACTTAACTATGGCAGGATGTTCATGCCACTGTTTGCTCTCACCATGTACTGGCATTAGTCTTTCAAAGGGCGTACAAACCATGGTCACAAATCTACTAGGTTTACATTTTTTATAATTCATTATTGAGGGTAAAAATACTATCTAAAGATCATAATGGTGAGAGCAAACATTGGCACAACAGCCTGTCATAGTTAAGTCCAGCTTAAAGTCAATCTTAGTCTTTGTGAAACACCTCCTTGTAATCATTTGTTTGTGCTTTCAATCATTTTATGCTGTATAAAATTACAAACTAATTCAGTCACTGATGGAATTTCAGTGGAACCTTATTATAAAGAGCTGTGATATAACAAGTTATCTGTCATAAGACAGTTATTCTGCTGGTCCTAGTTCTTTATATTCTTTTGTTTTTTACCCTGATATATCAAGGTTCCTGATTTAGCAAGGTAATTTCCATGGTCCCAAGGACCTGGGGGTGTTTCAAAAAGATTCTACATCAAACTTAACTCTAAGTTGGATTTAAATATTATGGAGAGCCATTAGTAGCCGTATAATCAAATATATTCAAAAGCAAAAATTGAAGTATTTTAGACTTCTCATAAATTCCACATCAAGAACATGAAATTTCCCATGATAATAGAAAATACGAATGATTTGAATTAACATTGTATGCCTTTCAAACTAACTTTAACAAAATATTTTCAAAGATGCTATCGGCTTTCCATAATTGTTAAGTCCAACTTAGAGATAAGTTCAACTTAGGATCTTTGTGAAACACCCCCCTGGTTATAAATGAGGTTCCACTGCACTCTCTTCTCAATAATTGATGTGACTTTGTATGTGTTCATTTTCTCAGGGAGAGCAGAGACTCAGATTGCTATTCAAGAGGAGAAGGCCCAAATAGAGGCAGAGAAACTCAAGGAGTCCATGAAGATGGCCAGTGGTAAGAAGAAAAAGAAGAAGAAAGGGGGTAAGAAGAAGACTAAATCTTCAGGCTCAACTAGATCCACTTTGTCATCGGCTAAGTCTAGTGCCAGTGTCATCTCATCAAGGTCAAAGGTCGCAGAGGGTGATAGACCGATATCAGCAATATCAGCATTAGGATTGGATCCAGATGAAATTCTGAAAGATATATTGTGAATATATCATAGGAAAATGTAGGACACATTGAAAAAATTATATTAATGTCGGAAGAGAGAAAACCTGCTTTCTCAAAGCTCAATCAAAAGACACAAACAGTGATAAACAAATATTAGCAATATCAAGCGATTTAAGTTTCTTCAGTATTTCTTGAGATGCAGTTATGAGCTGAACTGCCGGTTTGCAGTCCAGTGCAGTTGTAAATGTTAACAAGTTTGTTTCAGCTTTGCGGGGATTTGTATGAACAGTTTATTAATCATTGACATTATATTGATTTTTCATTGCGATATTTTCATGCGTGAGTTGGGGTGCTTGATTTTCTGTGACAGATATACAATGTGCAAAGGAGCTAACTCTGAAGTCTGAACTGGAATTAATTATTATTTTTCTTGAATACTAATCAAATTCATGTCTATGCCTGTAGATATGCAACATATGAAACTACTGCTTTTTTGCTATCAAAAGGATTGATAAGATTTGAACCCAGGACCTTCAGGTCAAAAGACCACAGCTCTTCGCTGAGCCATCATGCCTCTATCATGTTCTAATGATGAGGAAAATGCTCAAGAATTTTCTTATGTAGTTTTTGTCTTAACTTTACTGAAATCAGCTTATGTTGTGGTGGCCTTAAAAGCCTGAAATATTTAAGAGTAAGAGACTTATTTCAGTGTTTATAGAAATTTTTACAGAAAAATTATAACCTTCCAAACTGGTGGAGGAAATTGAGTGTTTTAAATTCAGATTACTAAGGTGGGTTTTTTTTATAAGAGAAAAATTGTATATTACGAGAAAAGTAATACATTTACATTGCAGCTCTGAATAGGAGCTTTATTTTATCTTATAAGGTGGGTATTTCTAGCAATATTTTAGTGTAATAGTTATTCAGTGTGTGTGAATTAACAGAATCCATCCAGCTTTTTGTAATCTTTTTATTATTCACCTTGAAATCTAGATGTTTTATTACTGAAATAAAAAATTATGTTTTTGAATTACTATGCAAATTTATGGATATTATCAGTGTTGCAAGTGCACAATATGATGCAGGTATATGACTTAAACTGTAAAATTGTTATTCTATTGATTATTGAAAGGGAAAATCTTGTGTTATGTAATAAGTGATAAAGTGAGGTAATTAACAGTCATTTCCAAGCATTACGGAATGACATTCTCAGAGAATGTTCAATTTTTGAAAATAAATGTTATAGACATTTTAATAATAATCAAAAATGAATGATATACCATAGAAGCTGCTTAGATACTTTTTAACAGTTGAGTTTCTGTAAACCATTTATAAAATTTACAAAATATTGAAATTGAAATAGCTTTTTAATGTAATTAAAGGGGGAAAAAGTCTTCCTCTACATCCTTCAGTAACAAACCTTTATCAATTCGATACTTCATGAATTTGATGAAAGGTTGATTGGAAGCCCAAATGTTGTGAAAGTATTTGATATTACGATAGTTAAAGGGAGTGTAGCATGACGAGACTACAGGTCTTTCCTGTGGCCTGACTCGATCGGGGGCCAATTGGGTATAATATGTCTAGCGCAGTATTCACGTGCGTGGAACATACGCGAAACCGAAGTGGAACTTCTGTCTCTTTCGCGAACGCTAGCGCGCGCTGACCCAGTTAATCAAGTCCATTCGTTTACGTGCAGTTGTCCAAAAGAAGTCGTAGATGGCTCTAACCAGTATTTGCCATGCTACACCCTCCTTAATGTATCATATCATTCATTTTATAGATTTTTAAACAAAATGTCTGAAATATTTGTTATTCTAAATAAAAAACAAAATCTGGAAATGTCATTCTGTAACACTTGCAACTAATAATAATAATAATAATAGCCTAATAGTCCACTCCAAATTTTATTAAACCGAAACGGAAATTCTTTTTGCCCAATTGATCGTGAGCCCGGCAGCCACTGAGCAGCGCCATATCGACGTTGCTCTATCCCTTATTGTTGAACGCCAAACAAGGTAGCAAGAACTCCCATCTTTTAACGTCTTTTGGTATGACGTGGCCGGGGTTCGAACCCACGACCTCCCGGTTGTGAGGCGGACGCTCTACTGACTGAGCCAACACCCAAATATAGAAAGTTTATTTTGTAGGTGTACTTCACATGAGAAACTAGGTACACTATGTTCTAGGAATGTCAAAGTTCAAAGGTCTATGAGGTCACCAAGGTTGGAAAATCTTATTGATATGATAATGTATATTAAATTGGATAAGGAAATTTAATTACTATAGAGAGGAGAGATGGAGCATGCAAGAGAAAGAAGTGAAAGGATGTAGGGAAAGGATCAGTCAAAAACATTTTTTTTTAATTCAGACAAGGATTAAGAGTCAAAACGGTACAACGAATCGTCGTCTTTCTCTAATAATTTAATGAAACGTCAACATTTCTTCACGCAGGGGGGGGGGGGGGACAGAATTCAGACAAGGATTAAGAGTCGAGAACGGTACAATTACGAATCGTCTTATTTATCTAATAATTAAATGAAACGTCAAAGCGTCCGCATTGCCTTCCATCAGGATGCCATCGGAGGTCACACTTCGAAAGATGCTGGCATCCGTAGATAGGCAGCCAGGCTTCACTATAGGAAGCAATTGAAACATTTAAATCCGTCAGAGACAACTCTCCTACTCAATTACATTGTACGTTAATGATAGATGCAATGACCATCAAAAGGCAAGTAAAATACGAAAAGAACAATGATTGTAACTCCGGTTTTACAAACATTGGAAATTTGAAATCGGAAGGGGAATCATCAGAACCTGCAACACAGGCGTTAACTTTTATGGTAGTTGCCATAAATATGCAAGTAAAACTAACAGTTGGCTATTTTCTTGTGAAGAAGTTGTCAGCCCCTTTTCAGGCTAGCCTGATTAAGGAGTGCTTACAACTTCTTCACGAGAAAGAAGACGATTCGTAATTGTACCGTTCTCGACTCTTAATCCTTGTCTAAATTCAGTTCCACACCCCCCCCCCCCCCCCCCCTCCCGCGCGAAGAAACTTTAACGTTTCATTCAATTATTAGAGAAAGAAGTATTGTACCGTTTTCGACTCTTAATCCTTGTCTGAATTTAAAAAAATGTTTCTTTGTCTGATCCTTTCCCTACGTCCTTTCATTTTGTCTCTCTTCTCTCTCTCTCTCTCTCTCTCTCTCTCTCTCTCTTTGACCGGCGTTTTGGCGTGCTCACTACCGCCCCCTAAAATAAAATCCTAGCTACGCGCTTGTTCGTAGGTTATTGATCATTTCATTGATTATTTGAAACATATTTAACCTGTAAAAAATAATAAATGTGATCTAAGACAATAACATCGTTTGACCAGTGTCATATTTTCGTTTCATGTTTTCTTCAAATGCACAGTTAAAAGTTACATGAAATGTATTTTCACACTAAGACTTCAATAAATATGCAATGAGTCAAATTAAGAAGTTGCTCGCGTCTTTTGCATAACTATAGCTTTTGTGTAATTTCTTTAATGAGCCCATATTCCCAAATCACTATTCAAAATAATAGTGCATTTCTCTACAATCGCCACTATTTACCCTAAAATTATATCCTTTACAATGCTGTCACTTGCGTTTACTCAATGACATAATATTGAAGAGTTCGCCTAACTCTCCCATAAATCAATGGCTCTGGGATAGTTCGTACACAATGCTTCTTCCGCTAGTTTTTCAACAACCGAGGAAAACACATCAAAATTCCGTAACGTTTCTAATTATGTGAAACCCCAGACTTGTTTCAATTTCATTGAAAAGTCACTTCGGCTTGAAGATTTACCTGTTAGGCTGTTTCCGCCAGCCATGCACAAAGAAGACGACAAACTTCATGCAAACGCCTGAGCTTCCAGGGGCTCCCCCCCCCCCCCCTGGACCCCACCAAGGGCCCTAAGGTGGCCCCTGGATGCTCATCTGACCGTAATTAAATGCCTAAAACCCCTGAGCTTCATGAGGCTCCACCCCTTGACACCCCGGGGCTTTGCCCCTGGACCCCACGCCAATTTACGCTCCACTTTGCTTTGCTTTGCTCTACCTGATCGAAAATACTTTAGCTCCCCCCCCCCCCCCCCACTTTTAAAAACGTTCCCAGGGCCTGCGTAACATGTAAGAGTGGTGGCGATGCAGATTTTTTTCTGACCCCCCCCCCCCCCCAAAAAAAAGAAAAGTTTTTGCTCATAACGCTAGTGTTCCATCGTCAATCGCATTTCGTCCCCCCCCCCCCCCGGTCATGAAAATAAATCGCCGCCCCTGATAGGTGGTGCAATGAGTGATGGCCTTATATGGAAAACCCAATACTACTGAATTCGAACGCAATAGCCACCTTGTCCAATGATGTGAGCAACGAGCGAGGATCGAACCCAGATCCTCCCGTATGATCGAGAGTCAAGAACCTTCACTAATATACCGCAGTGCTCCTACATAATACGCTATTGATGTACTCTTCGTTGAATAATGACTAATCGTGTGGTTGACGCTTTACTATATTCGCAAACAAAAGATTGTTTCCTTAAGCGTCAGTTCGTACCCTCGGCTTTGTTAGATTTACAATTACATTACATACCCCTCTGGAGCCTATATCCATTATTGTAAGCTTTTCTTTTTATTTGATTTTTTATTTGATTTATTGGTTTCGATCATCCATATCCTCATTTTCAATCTAACTTAGTCCTTGATTGATTGATTGATACATTTTATTTCATTTCATATAACGATTGTTTTTACAATAAAGAACGTATTTGACAAAGTAAGATCAAAATTATGAAATGAAGCAGAAACCTACTGGAATGCATAGCTTGTTTTTGTAGGTTCCCAAGAATAAATATAATATTAACATTATTTTCAACAATAAAATAGATATAATATAATAACATATTTTCATAAACCATTTTAAAAGGGAGGTCCACCCTGATATCAAGATGGGTTTCAATTGAAGCAGAAAAATGAACCAAATAGGTCAGTGGAAGATTTTAAAAGCCAAACAAATATAAATACAATCGTGAATTTTAGAGGTGCAATTAATCAACACGAATTTGCAACTCTGTGACGTATCTCCCGAGGCCCCCTCCCATTTACCCTTTACTTAAAAATTAAAATCTTTATTATTCAATCATTTTTTGCAATCATACATTCACCGTATATATAATTATGGAAAATATTTTTTTAAGAAGCAAATCTATGAGTCCGTCATCAATAACTAACAAAATGAAACTGATGACAATTTCAAACATTCATAACATTCCTATTCTAAAACGGATATTGAGCAAACTCCCACTAATTTGTGTCTTTACTTTTCTACTTGTATTAAATTTAAACCATCTTGATATCAGGGTAGAAATTCCCTTTAATAATGTTGATTTACAAGTAACTACAAGGAAACTAATATAATGTGATTTAATATAACTTATGTAGTTATGTTTATTCAATATACCTCTCTAGTGAAATATAAAATATGAAATAAACTGTATTGAACTGAACTACACAAACATATTCGAATGACGGCCTACTTAACTTGGGGGTCGCTTGATTTATCTTTTTTCCCCCATGCAAAGTTTCTCAACCGAGTGCAGGGGGAAAATGTGGCTTTCCCCTTTATTAATTCCACTCTTTTATTTTTATTTGTATAGTTCCTCTTCTGTAAAAGCAATGCATAGCGTCATGCATATCAATTGTTGTGCTGGCTTGTAAGTGGAAATTGATTTTTGGTAAAGGTACAAAATAAATTTGCTGAGCTTTTTTCATTTTGGGCTATGTGGGAAGCCATCAGGGCGTCGGGAAACGAATGCCCGCTAAAAATTTAATGCTCTGATATTTGAAATAATTAAAAGAAATAGACTTTCCCAATCCCCTTTGCCAATGACGTGTATGTCCAACATAATACATTTCCCTATGTGGTGCTGTTAATTGTAAAGGAGAATCACCCTCCTGGAAAATTACCAATATGACCGTTACTCCACCCCCTCACCAAATTTCTTTTGTA